ACGGGAGCAGAAAGCCTCATCTTTCACTTGCAGAGCAGCTGATGGGTTTGAATTGCCAACCTCGTGATTAGCAGTCCAGTGCTTATCAGTGCCACCAGGGCTCCTTTTGGGTACATATTGTTGTTGTTAAGTGCTGTTGAGTCGATTTTGACTCATAGCAACCCTGCATAGGGTTTACGAGGAGCAGCAGATGGGTTTAAACTGCTGACCTTGTGGTTCGCAGTCCAGTGCTGATCCTACAGCGCCACACTAGGAGAGGCTGAAGGAAATAGCAGGAAGAAAGGAAATAGCAGGAGGAGAAGCTAAGAGTCAAAGCAGAGGAGTGTGGTCCCACAGATAGCAAGGGAAGAAAACGTTTTTAAATAGGAGTAGTCAACCACTTCAAGACAAAAATCAAAAAACCCTCTGTGGAATTTGATAAGATGCAGAGGGCTGAAGAAAACATGGGGATGAAGAAGTAAAGGAGGCAAGTGTAGGTCATTCCTTACAGAGTTTGGAAGTGAAGAGAGGGATGGGTGACTAAGTGCTAGCAGGAAGAGAATATGAGGTCAAGGAATCCTTTTTTTTAAGGCAGTAGAGATGTAAGTAACCTAGTAACCTTGTAAAGGTTGCTAGGGAGGATCCAAGTGAGAAGGGCATTGAAAACATGCCAGGAAAGGGTAATTTTGTCAGGTTCTAGTGCAAACAGCAGGAAATGGGAACTAGAGACCAACCAAGACTAGGCTAAGGGAGGGAAAGGGCCCGCCCCCTCCTCACCTCTAACACAGAGGGAAGTCAGTTTGCAAGCTGTGAGGAGGAGTTCCATTTTTATGACTTCTATTTGTTTTGTGAAGCTGGAGGGGAAGTCTGAAGGTAAAGAATATTTCAGAGACACATCAGAGGAGACAAGAGTTGATCCAAAAGACAGCAGGACCGCCAGGCAGGGTAGAAAATGATCCTGATTCAATAGTGATGCTAATCTGCTCTGCTGTATGTCAATCTCTAACAGGACTTGTCTACTTAGCTGATCGCCCGTATTGTGAAAAAACTGGGATGAGGCGTAGGGAGGAATCTGAAGAGGTTGGGGTGGGATGGACAGACTTCCCTGAAGAAGTCTTCTTCAAACTGAAGGATCAACATGATCTGACTACAAGGGTTTCAAGACAAACATTCCTGGTGAAGAAAACAACAGAAGCAAGGGCCTTGAGGCAGGAAGAAGATTCCTTGGTAACAAAAACCACTGTGACAGGAGTTCAGAAGACAGAGAACGGCGATAATAGAAGCAGGCACAGGCAAGATGGGAAGGGAGACAGAAGAGGTGCTTGAAGGCCATGGTGAGGCTTCCTTGGTTTTCATTTTTTAAGAAAAATAGGATACCTTCCCACACCAGTCCTGAAACTTTGGACTCTGGAAGCCTGTTTGTCCAGGAGAGAGGAATAAAAAGTCTATCACACAGGGAATGTTAACAGGATTCAATGAGTATTTTGCTCAGCAAAGTGTCTAAGAAAGAGCAGGGTCTCTGCCAGTTCTCTTACAACCAAGCCCACTATACCTATTCCTCTCACCCAGTCCCACCACACAGCACTTTGACATCCTAGGATCAGTCTGCATCTCACTGTTCCTGCATGAACCCAGAACATAGTAGGCCAATAAATGCTGCTTGATGTGTTATCTCTGAGCCTAGGGATTAGCAAAAGCCTAGCAATTCAGGGAATGCAGTCATTTAGGTTTCTAAGATGTTCCCATAGAGCATCTCCAGTGTTCCCACCTGATGTAGCTATGCCCAGCACATAATGGGTCTGCAGTCAACATTTCCTGAATGAGAAGCCCCCATGATGGGGCCCCCACAGGTGAAGGATATTCCCTTAGATCCTCCACCATTTCCCGAGAGGTTGGGCCACAAAGGAGACTGTTCAAGTCACCAGCTACACACAGGTTTTTAAACAACAAGTTAAAATGTACTCGACAAGAAAGCCACCAATCTACAAAGAAACCTTATCGCTGATCTTGCAATGAGCACCAACCTCCTCTTTGCAAGAGCTGAGATCAAAAGATACAGAAGCTATCAAAAAACCATCTGCCCACTTAAAATAATATCACAAGTCATGTTAGGAACCACAGACCCGGAGCCAGATACCAAAACAATTGTCTGAACTGGCTGCTTCAATTTCTCCTTAAAACCACCCATGTATTTAAAAAGAAAAACACCCTCTCCACCCACCATGGCCCTGCAAAGTTTTGATTTCTCTGTTCTCTTCCTTTCACACTCTTTAAAATGACCAAACTCTGATACCCAAACTATCGCATAGGGCTCCCACAACAACTAGCTGGGATGACACTGTTTGAAAAATGATAGAAATGGAGACAACTGTGGGGCACTGAAAATTCTCCATATTAATCTGGGTGGTGATCACAGAAGTGTATACATATGAAAAACCCACTGAGCCAAACACTTCTGATTAGTACGTATTACTGTATGTGTACCTTAATAAAACACAAAGCAGGGAAAAGGAAGGAAAAAGGAAAGCACAAAATGCCGGTATGCTGGGAACACCAAGCTTGAAATCCAGAATTTACCTTAAATTCTTCCAGTACTTCAAGAGAATCAGTAGTTTAAAAAAAGCTTCCCTTGCATCTTTTACTTGGTCTTGTTACTCACTAAGTGGCCCTCGGGCAAATTGGTTCACCTCTCTGACCTACATAGCTTCCCCCTATACCACATATAGTGTGCAGAGAACTCAGTAAGAATGGACTTGTAGCATCTAACACAGAGATCAGTAAATGCTAGGCACTGTTATCTTTTGCAGCTACTACCGTACTTCAGTTGACCTGCCCCATGTTTGCTGTGTCTAAGCCAACCATTCAAAGTTGACTTAAACAGTAAGGAAAGTGAAGCAAAGCCACACAGCTGGTGAGAGGCAGAGATTTTGTGTAACTTTCTAAAGAGCCATGCAGTGAAACCTGAGAGTCGGAACTCTCAACAGGACTGCCGTGTTTTTCCATGTCTCACAAGTTTTCTGCGTTTGACAAGCTACAGTCTTCTATTTCTATTAATGGGAAATATTTGCATTTTCTTTCTCTGACAGGTCTCTGCCTTGCACAGGTTTTACCGCACTAGCTACTACGGCTCTATGAGCCAAGCTTGGTTTAGAGTGTTTTTACTCATATTCTAAGAGGCAGGTATTGTAATTATTTATTTTACAGATTAAGACATTGAAGCACAGTGCAATTAAATGACTTGGCTAAGGTCACAAAGTCAGGAAATGGCACGTGCTGGAATTTGAAGCTAGACAATCTGATGCCAGGATCCACATCCTTACTACCATAAGGAAAGGCATGCTGCCTGCACCATAGAGATTAAGTCCTAGGTTAAGGAGGGGACTCACAAGTCAGTAAGTGGTTATTTGCCAGCTTGCTCACCTACCCAGGCACATCTGCCCACCAGCCCAGAACTAGACCTTTCCGAACCACTCACAGCCTACAAAAGGCTTGCCAGGACCCAAAGAACATCAGATCCCATAAACATTTTGCTTCTGATCAAGCTTCTGATCAAGCATATACAAGTTCCAAACAGCATTTGCTCATTTCCACTCCTCCCAGGAGCAGGCAGATGTTTGCATTTCCCATATGGGCAGGGAAAACCTACTTTCCCCAGGAACCAGCCTAGACTTGGGAGACACAAAAAAAGAATCAGGTTAGCTACTGTCCTTGAGGAACTAATAGACTGATGGAGGAAACCTAGGAGAATCTCAGATCAGGGCCTCCTGGGGATGTGACTGGTTCATTCCTTCTCCCAACCTAATTGATCACAGATGGTATGGCAATAAACAAGTCAAGTCCAGGTTCCATCTTGTTCTGACTCTGCCATAGCCACTGCTTCCCTGTGAGTGCATGGGCTCAGGCCCTTACCTCCATAAGAGGTCTCAGACTAGATTAGAGTGCAATAATAGAGTGCACAGGCTTCAAGGTCAAGCACCATTAGTTCTTCAACCAATCTCTCCACCTCTGGAAATTTGGTTTCTTGCTGTCAAATGGGGATCAGAGTCTCTATCCGCCCTCCCTCCTACCTCATCTGCTAAGGTCCTTGGTTCACACTTGTCACTGAAGTTCTCTCCACTCAAGCCACTGTCCACCATTCATACCATGCTCACTTCCACTTCAGGACCTTTGCACTTACTTTCCCTCTACCTAAAACACCACATGTCTGTATAACTGCTCCTTTTTATCAGTCAGGATCAGTTTAAATGGTATCTCCTCAGAAGAATCCTACCTGTTCCCTTTTCTCCAAACTTTCTCCCCTCCCCTCCTTGTTGTCGGGTGCTACGGAGTCAGCTCCAACTCATAGCAACCCTGTGTAGGATTTCCAAGGAGCAGCTGGTGGATTTGAGCCCTCAACCTTGCAGATATAAGTCCAGTGCTGATCCTACAGCTCCACACCAGAACGCCCCTCTATATGTGTTCACAGGTCTCACCTTCTGAACAACCTGTCTAAAGCAGCAATTCCCTCCCAACTATACCCTTACTCGATTTTACTTTCTTCTCAGCAGCTAATAGTATCCCTATTTATTTTATCTGTTTGCTTGTTGTTCTTTCAAACTGTCTCTTATAGGAGCTGGTATGATCCTTGAAGGCAGGTAAGATGTCTGTCTTGTTCGGACTTTTACAGTGGGGCTCAATGAATAGTTACGAAGTGAATAAAACCCCAAAATTAACAGAGCCTAGCACATGTCTGTATTCCTGGTGTAGCGCTGTCAGATAAGCACTGGACTGCAAACCACAAGGTCGGCAGTTCAAACCCACCAACTGCTCCTTGGAAAGCCTGTACAGGGTCGCTATGAGTTGGAATCAACTCGATGGCACTTAACAACAGCACATGTCTGGCCTCCATTACTCTTTGACTAACTCAATGGGCCCTCCTCTTAGTCCTGGAGAGCTGGCCCGAAGGAGTTTGGGACCAGGATGCTTGTCCTCCATCCTAGACAGAACCCTACGTTGGCAGAGGTGGCGCTGGCAGACATTACCTGCGCCTCACTGGCTTCATGCAGCTCTTCAGCTGCCTGGCCTCAGCCTCCACCGGACCCTGGGACTCAGGCTGTGGCTCCAGCTGCTGCTGCTGCAGCCCTTCAACATCAGTGGGTGTGGGAGCGGGTGCGATCCGGAGCAGAACTGTGTAGTTGCGGCCATGGTTGTTGGCCCAGAAAGTGCCCTCGGGGGTCTCATAGCGCACCACGAAGTCCAAGCGCGCCCCATCGCCCGCGCCCTCAGCAAAGGGCAGCTGGAAGGCAAAGCGGTCGGTGCGGCCACCATCATCGGGCGAGGAGGCAGACACCTGGCCAGAGCCCAAGCCCAGATCCAGGATGGGGTCTCCTGCTCCTGTTCCTCCCGCTCCTGCCCCCGGCAGGCTGCACGGTACATAGCGCGCGGGGTGGTCGCAAAAGGAAGCCCAGCCGTCGTGTGAGGCCCGCACGTGCACCGCCTTCTCGAAGGAACGATTCAGCACGCGTACCAACCCACGCAGCACCGGAGGGCGCCCCCCAGGCACCCACACCCCCGCACCCCCGGGCACTGCTCCGGGAGGTGGCAGTAGCGCCTCCAGCTCCACCATGACGCGCCCCAAGCGCTCCAGACGGCCCGGCGCAGGCGGCAGCGAAAATGTGGGCACCAGGTAAAAACCCCCGCCAGCAGGAAGGGGGGATGGCGGCGAGGGCTCGGGGCAAGCCTCCTCTTCCTCCTCCCCTTCATCCCCATCCTCGCCATCGTCGTCCTCGTCAACCCCGCCGCCGCCGCCATCTTGCCTGGCCGCCGCCATCTTGCCCGCCCCCGGCCCGCCCCACGGCCGGTAGCAGCGCAGTTGCGCCAGCGGCAGCCCCAGGGCCTCATCGGCGAACAGCACCCTCCGTGGGGCCACCGCCGCCTCGGCCGAGGTGCGCGATTCGCCCGAAGCCAGCGAGGGGGCCGCGGGATGCCGTAGCGGGGTATCCACAGGGGCTGTGCGCGCCATATCGGCGGCGGCGGCGGCGGCACCGACGGCACCGGTGGCGGCACCGGTGGGGGCAGGGCCTGAAGGGGTGAACAGCCAATGAGAAGACCAGCACGGGAGAGGTACAGCTCACGGGGCGTAGGCGTTGAGATGAAGACAGGTACAGCAGACAGCCAATAAGGATGCCGCGCGCGGGTGACGTAGGCGGTGAAACAAGGGCGGGAGTAGCATGAAGCCAATGGGGATGCCCGAAAGGGGGCGGGGTCGGAGGCGGGTTGTTTGGGGAATCAATGGAGAGACGGGAATAGAGGTAGCCTGGAAATGGAATAAAGAAAACAGAAGTTGGACAGCCAATGGGGAGTCTGTGGGCAGCAGGGAAAGTGGACCACAGGCGATGGGCAGCAGGGAGCAAGTCCAGAGGCCCAAAAAGTGAGAGATCCGTGGGTTGGGTAGGTAGTGGGATGGAAGCTATAGACAGCGAACAGCCAATGGGGAGCCGCTCCCGCTTGGCGGTGAGGCGGAATAATAATATTGGCTGCCGTGGGGAGTCTTGTGAGTGTGCCCTACGACTTTAAGAACGGTAACAAAATGGGACTGGCCAATAAGGAGGCTGGAAGGAGACCAGAGGCGCTGTGTGAGTGACCACAGAGCCAATGGGGTGAAGGATGAAGGGGCGTGAGGACGAGAGAAGACGGGGAGCCAATGGGGGAGCCAGTGTGAGCGTCATGACACCTCAGGGGGCAGTGCTAGAACGGGGTGAACCAATGCGAAGGCCAGAAAGTGTAGCGAAGGAAAGGAAGACGTGGAAGTGGGACGGGAAACAGTAGAGGCTAGGCGGGGGTGGGGATGGGTTGTGCAGAGAGGTGTGTAGGTTTTGTCGAAGGAAGGCATGAATAGCCAATGAGGGGAGGATGGTGCTTAGGCAGAGCGGGGACTATTGGGTGGTCCAGGCAACGGAACCTAGAACGCTGGCAGTCAATAAGAAGAGTACACCCTTCTTGAATGGCCTTACCTTCTCCCCCAACCTTCTGAAACTCACCGTTACCCCTGTTTTGCCGAGAATGCCCAGAGACCCTGAGGACCTGGATTACACTCTAGTGTGAGACCTAAGAAAGCAAAAAGGGTTTGTGTGTTGCACTTACTTTGTTCCCCCTTCCCACCTCCCAGCCATTGCTTGAGTGTTTATTAAGTGCCATCTGGTCAGTTCTGACTCCTAGCAACCCTTTGCACAACAGAAGGAAACACTGCCCAGTCCTGCGCCAACCTCACAATCTCCTCACCAGCCTCACCATTGCTGCTGCCACTGTGCCAATCCATCTCATTAGTGATCTTCTTTTTTTTTTTTTTTTTTTTGCTGACTCTCCATTTACCAAGCATGATGCCCTTCTCCAAGGACTACTATGCAAAAAATGCTGCCAGCGTTCTTCAGGAATTAGTGCCATCTTTGACTGAATGGCCAAATTGAGTTTTTGTTTTTTGGGTTCTTTTTTTTTTTAGAATTAGTTTTTCCTCTCTTCAGCTAAGCAAACACTGAACCTGACTATATGCTGCCAGGAGTTGATTGAGCATGTAGGTAAACACTGACTAAATCACAAGTGCCCTCCTTGCCCAGCCCAGCACTCTATATCCCACAGTGGCTTCACCTCCCTTCTTTCTGTTGCCTACCTTTGTTGCCTCTCCTGATAATGCTGTTTCTCCTACATCTTCCATCCAATGAACTATTCCCTCTTTAAAGTCTCACCGCCTATGGAAACTGAATTGTAGCTCTTGTCAACCGTTAGGCCAAATATGGCCATTCACACATTCCCCTCCATCCTGTGAGATTTTATTGAACATTTACAATATGACAGGTTATGAACATTTTATAATCTAAACCTCACAGCATCTTGAGATGGGAAGCGACTCCCCAGCAGATTTCCCCCTCGCCAGGTCTCTGGATGGAGTCACGTGTCAAGAAAGAACATGTTCAGCTGCAAGTGGCAGAAAATTCACAAAATACTGAGAGCTTATTCAAGATACCCTGGTAACACAGTGGATTACAAGCTGGGTTGTTAACCGCAAGGTCAGCAGTTTGAATCTACGAGTCACTCTGTGGGAGAAAGATGAGGCTTTTTGCTTCCATAAAGATTTACAGCCTCAGAAACCCTATATAGGGTCACTGTGAGTTGAAACCAACTCAGTGGCACACCACCATCACCATTTAAGATGGAACTTAGGCAATCCAAGGACTCATTCCTGCCTACCCTTTTGGGTGTCAGTGTCTTGATTTGGTCCCAGTAGTTATCTGTCAGCAGATTCTGTCAGTTCCTCATCAAAATATTTTCAGAATCCAAACTCTTCTCACCACCTCCACTGCCAGCATCATCACCACTCATTTGGACTCCTCAGTAGTCTCCTCCTCACTGGTCCCCTACTTCCAGCCTCCTCTCTAGATTCCATTCTTCACTCAGCATCCAGGGGGTTATGTTAAATTCTACATCGGATCCTGTCCCTCTTCTGCTCAGAACCTTCCCATAGCTTCTGTCTTACTAAGAACTAACCTTAAATCCTTACAAGGTCCTATGACGTAGCCTAATCCCTTAGTCTCTTCTCTAACCTCATCTCCTACCCTTCTCCCCCTTGCTCACTCCACTCTAAACACACCAGCCTTCTTATAGGCCTTGGACAAACGAGGCACTTTTTCCTCTGGAGTTATCCAGATATGTGCACGGTTTCCTCCTTTACCTCATTCAAGTGTTTGTCAAAGGTCTCCTCTAAGGCCTTTCCCTGACCTCTCTCTCTTTAATGCTACCCACTCTCCCCACTCCCAACCCTCTCAATCCCCTGCCCCAGAGCCATTCAGTATAGAAAAGAAGCAATGACTTCTACCCCTTTCTGCCCACATGTACCCCTCACCCCCCACCCCCAGCCTTCATTCTCTAAGGTACCTGGCTCTCTCCAGTGCCCCTCCTATACCTCAGGTAGCCTCCTGGGATTCTTTGGACCACCACCTTCACTCAGTTTTCCTTCTAACTGTAGATCTCCCTCTCAAGAAGGAAGTGATACTAAGGGAGCAACAGTCTGGAGAGGGGGATGAGGAGGATTTTAGCCCACACCTCTGACCCTGAGAGAAAAAAACAGCTCTCTTTCGCAGGAGGAGATAGGTCCTGGGACAGCGAACAAGGTCTCATGTTTCTGAATCCGGCCTGGTTTATAGTTATATAGGCAGTGTAAGGATTGTTCAGACATATGTCCACGAGGAGCAGGAAGTCATAAAACTTGGGGGCATCCCTACAGTTGGCTCCCCAGGGCTCCTTCATTATAAGCACACCCCACACCTCCTCCCTTGCTCCCTCCCACATGCCACAACATCTGTTAAGTACCTACTGTACAAAGGGTCCCTTCAGATCCCCAAGCTGGGGATCTTATCCAAGCCTTGGTACCTCCCCTGGCTGTCTGGCATACAAAGTCCATCTTTGGGTCTCAGAAGTGCCCCACCAATACAGAAGCATCCACCAGTGAAAGTTTTATTTTGAACTAATGGTAGGGAGGGTTGGGCTGGGTTTGTTTTTTTTGTATGTGTGTGTTTTAATTGTTGTTGGCTGATTTTTTTTTTTTTCCTTTGAGTCTTTTTTTTTTTTTTTTCCTATTTACCTTTTCCCCCCTTTTTTTCACAAAGCCAGACCGTCAGACCCACTCTGGGCTTTTCCAGAAGAGTGAGTCTGAGTTTAAGAAAGAGGCTCTCCTCTTTTTTCAGGGTTTTTGAAGGTGGGGTAGGGGTGGGGGAAGAAAAATAGGACAGACTCAGAGCTGAAGGGGTATACCATGTGAATTGAAAGCTGTTCTCAATTTCTCTTCCCCAGGCCTGAAGCCAGTCTCGCAGAAGGGTTGGAGTGGACATTGGATAATAGGACATTGAGCTATGCAGGGCATTGGGGAATCAAGGGCTGGGAATCTCAACCATGGGCTGTTGGGAGAAGCCCATGGGGCTACTCTCCCATGTTGGTCACTGGTTGGAAGGGGTGCCTGCCAAGGTGAGGAAACAATCACCAATTCTTGGACAACTTTAAAAGCTTCAAGCCTTAGAAGAATCTCCAAATCCAAGAACCTCCCAATCGTGGCATCCTAAAGTTTAAAAGCTAACACCTTTGGGTTCAGGAAAACCTAGCTCTTTCAAAGCCTGGCACCCAAGAAAGGCAGGCCCCCACTCACCAGTGCTATCATCTTGGGCAAATTACTTAACTACTTGTTTTTCCCTTTCTAAATAATGGCAATGATGGACCTTACAAGACCATGAGGAGGATCCAATGTCATCATCTGTAAGAAGTGTTCAGTACCTGACCCATGGAAAGTTCAAGATAAATGTCAGCTACGGGCATGATGGCGGATATTTGGAACCCCAAATCCTTGGAAACTGAGAATGTTAGAAGTAGAAAACTGCAAAGGCATCAAGCCTCTTTGATGTCCCTGGCTGGCTGCAAGTACATCAGGCCTCAAAGGGCGTCTGGACTCCTGTGGATGGATGTATTAATTCTGGGAACCTGGTTAGGACCTTCCCAGTGGAATGGCTGCCAGGTCAGAACTCTCGGGCCCTAAGACATGATAAGGCAAGACTTTTTCTCTTTTTTTCCTCACTCAGTGACTCTCGGTGGATTTTGGGAGCCAGTGATTTTTAGACTCTTTGATTCCAGAAATTGTGGGGAATGGGGTAGAGGTGGACTCCCTTAACTTTTTCGCCATGAAGTAACTTATATACCCCTTATCTTCTTTGGGAAGATGATGGCAGGAGCTTCAAGAGTTCTCTCTACTTGGTCAGTGAGAATGAGGTTGACCATATAAATTCCACCTACGGGGAAACTAAGGCTCAGGGCAGGGTGAGGCCTTTGGAAACCCAGACCTATTCTGTTTCTATCCCAGGTGTTTCCCATCACTACATGGTCCTGAGTTCCTCTCTTTCTTCCTCCACTCACCTTTACATATTCCCTCATTGAGTGATATGTCTCTGCTACCCCCAGGGCACCCCTAATTTATTTGGGTTCTTTTCCCTTGTTTTTTGTCTCCCCCCCCCCCCCCCCGCCAACTCTGTACATGCTTTTGTTTTAAAAAATTAGAGTTTCTCATGAGCCCTGTTATCTTATTGATACCTCTCACCTCTGTGGTGAGGGGAAGAAATCGTATTTTCAGATGACTCGTAAAGGGCAAAGAAAAAACCCAAATTTCAAAATTTCCGTTTAAGTCTCATAATCAAGAAGCGGAGAAAGAGAGTGAGAGAGAACTGTGAGAACCCCCCCACACACACCCCGTGATTATCAGCACACTCACTCATCGAAAAAAAATTGGATTATTAGAAAAGAGAGGTCTGTGGCTTCCACACCGTGGTTTTTCTTCTCAGTATAAAAAGCATAGTTGTTTTTGATATGTGACAGTTTCCCACAAGCCAGGCTGATCCTTTATCAAGGTGAGTGTCCTCTGCTCACCCCCACCACATTTGGGCCCTGTTGGAGGAAATGGCAGTGAGGTAGGCAATAGGGGTTCAGGGACCCTCTGGTACAGTCAAGACATGAATAACTTCTGCATTCCTGGTCAGGTAAGGTGTGTTTGTTTGTTTGTTTGTTTAAACAATAGTAATAGTAGTAATAAATGCCAGAAGAATAATCATTGAATTACTTAATGCTTGGGAAGAGACAAAAATAAATTGATGGATTGATACATAGGTAAGTGACAGTTTTAAAATACATTGTGTCAATCTTTATGAATTTCAGAGCTTTGAACAACTTGCAACCCTATCTAGGTGTACCTGGAAATTCCAACTGCATCTCTCTCATCTCTTCCTCTTGTCTTTCTTGAGTCTCCTGCCCCCCTGTCTCTGCTCACTCCGTCTTGCTCTTTTATGTGTCTCTGCCTCTCTCTTTCTCTTTCCTCACTCGGACTCTCCATCCCTCTTTATATTTCTCTATCTTCCCAGTCTTTGTCTCTATCTTTACCACATTCCATCTGTCTCCTTTCTTTCATCTCCCTTTCTATTGTCTTTCTTTTCCCACCTGATCCCCCACCCACCCACCCACCGAACATCTAGCACAAAAATGTGTGTACCATTGGTGTTTAATATGTGTGTTGAGTGTCCTGGAGGAGAGCATTGACATTTTATAAAAATGGTCATCAACTCTGTGTGCTCTGGTAGAAGAAGCGTTCAGCTTAGACTGAACACTTACCTGAGGTTCTGCTTGCATTGCATGAGAGAAGACCCTCCTGGGAAGCACTTCATGCATGCCCTTGTCAGCCATGATTGAAGTGTGAAGTCCTGTCCCAGAACTGTGTGTGTGGCCAGAATCCATGTCCATAAAAAGAGCAGGGCTCCCCATCTCTGCAGACTTAGCATGGTGCTTGGCACACAGTAGGTGCTAAGTATTAGTGTATGATTATTTTTTAATCAAATTAGAATAATACTATAGGTTGGGTTTGTTAATGATTTTTCAGTTATTGACATGAACCATGTTCCACCAAATGCCGATTGCTGTACATTTGGGTTGTTTCTTGCTTTTCCCAACAAACACTTCAAATTAAGTTTTTGGACTCTTGCAAATGGATTTGCTGGGTCCAAAAGTATGTGTGCTTTTAAGGTTTCTATCAAACTATTCTTTCAAAAGGTCGTCCTGTTCTACGCTCCCTCTACTCAAGCTGACCCTGGGTGCGTATTACGATTTTTAAATCCTTTGCCAACACTGTAGGTTAGAAAAAAATAGGACTGCATTGTTGAAATTTGTATTATTTGATTCTTTTTACTGTTTATTGTCCACTTGCTTTAAAAAAATTTTTTTGCCCTATCTGTTCACGTCCTTATTCCTAATAGGGTGTTTGTATTTTTTCTTATTGATTTACCACAGCTGTTTATTTGAAAGAATATTAACCTTCCATCAGTCATATATATATAACCAATATTTCCCCCAATTAATAATTTGCTTGTTCTGTTTGTTTATGGTGTTTTTGTGATACTTATAATATTTTTGGAGTCCTGGTGTGGCGCTATGGGCTAATGCATCAGACTGCAAAGTCATTTGAACTGCAAGGTCGGTGGTTCAAGCTCACCAGCTGCTCCTTGGAAACAGGGTCGCTATGGGTTGGAATCGATTCAACAGCACTTAACAAGAACAACATAATTTTTTATGTAGTCAGATAGGTTATCTTTTCTTTTGTGGTTTCTGTCTCTGGTTTTGTGCTTAGAAAGTCCTTTCCCACTTGAAAATGAGATAAATGTTCACCTTTGTTGGCTTCTAGTATCTTTTATGGCTTCATTTTTTCCATTTACTGTAGAGGTTTAGCGTGTGGGTACTGGAGCCAGACTGTCTGGGACAAACCCAGCCTCACCCCAAGCTGTGTGATTTTTAACAAGGCACTTAACCTCTCTGTGCCTCCATTTCCTCATATGTACTATGATAATAAGAACCTACCTCAAAGGATTGATGTGAAGATTATGTCTATTAACCACGTTAAATGCTTAATACAAAATCTGGCACACAGTAAACTTAAGATCAATATTAGGTATTATTATGTCTCTCTTTTATGGAGCTGGAATTTATTTGAGTATGTAATGATGCTGACATTTCAAACTGGGCAAAGAACGGTTGATGGGAAAATGGACTCATTATTCACTATTTTTATTTTCTCCTAATTATTCCAGAAACATATATCAAACAATCTATCTGCCACCACCCTGCAGTCTGAAATACCACATTCATCACAAACTAGATTCCCACATATACATGGGTCTGTGTTTTCTACTATTTCTACTCTGTTCTGGCACTCAGTGTCTTGTATTAGGACTGCACGGTTTTGCCGATTGTTTCCTTGCAATACAATTTAATACCTGGCTGTGGGTGTCTCCAGCACCTTGTCCTTTGTTATTTCGGACAGCATCCGTTCTCCCAGCCACAGACCGGCAACTCTTCTGTTTGTGGCAATTTATTTTCTCTCTCTTTCTCTCCTTCCCTCCGTATCTGTCCCTCACTATGTCACTGTGTCACTGTCTCTATGTTGTTTCTCTCTTGTGCTATCTCTGTTTCTCTCATTCTGTCACCCTGTGTGTACATCTATGTCTTTCTGTTCCTGTGGGTTTCTTTCTGTCTCTCACTCTTTGTCTCTGTCTCTGTTTCAGTGTCTCTCACTATCTCTCTTTCTCTGTTTTTCACGCTTTATGTCTGTCTTTCTTCTACCCTGTGTCTACATTCATCTTTCTCTATCCCTCTTTCATTTTTCCTCCCCTCTGTGCTCCCCCCCCCACCCACGTATACCTATCCATCTCTTCTCTCTCTTAAGTTCTCTGTATGTCTCTGTGTATCTATGGTTCTCAGCCAGTCTGTTGGATAGAAAGGCAGCTGTGAACTCAAAGCCCTGAAGACAACTAACAACTCACTTAGACTCAAAGCAGATGACCCTGACCGTCATCTTCTCCCAAACCTTTCCCCTCCCAAGTGTACAGAGGAACAAACTGTGGCCCAGAAATAGGCAGGAGAGCTCTTCCAAAACCTCACCGAGATTTAACAGCAGAGTTGATATCCAAGCCCAGACCTCAGGACTCTCTCCTTCTCCCCTCCTGTGGACCTCAGTTTATCCCTTCAGTACCCATGAGTGTGACAGGGGACCTGGGCTGCCCTTTATCTGCTGCCATTTTCCTTTCTGCCTTCTTTCAGGTTGGATACACCCTGACTCAGGCAGGAGAATCTATGTCTCAGCATAAGGTTTAGTCTCCCAAGATCTGGGCTTGGGAGGATCCTGGAGCCCATGGTCAGGAGGCTTAGTTGTCCAGAAGGTGGCAATAATTGAGGGACATAAATCAGACAATCCTGTCTGTGGGTCTGGCTATGGACAGAGCTCAGTTATGTCCCCAGTAGTGATGCCAATCCCTGGAGCCTGTATCCCAGAACCCTTCCAGAAAAAATGGTTGTGAAGTATGGGTTAATAATGACTGGGGTTTATTCTGCTCCTACCATGAGGTACCCCTGGCTGAAAGTATCCCAGCCTTCACTTTCCCTCCTTCCAGCCTCTCTGGTGGGGTAGCTATGAGTTTGGGAACATTATCTCAGAATGGGCAGGGATACTGAGGCTCGGTAGATGTTCATTTGCTGACACTCTGCTAAGCATTTCATGTGCATCGATTTTGGAAGATGGGTATTATTACCGTCCCAGTTTATACAGGAGGGTTCTGAGGAGAGTTACAGCTTCTGGGAGGAGTAACAGATCCAGGACCCAAGCTGTTGGAAGGAGATGGGTGATTCTGACCCTCCTGCCTTCAGAGTTTACAAGGAAGGCTGAGAGGAGACTTGCTGTGATTACAGACCTGGTAGACAGGCAGCCCTAGGGGATAATGGGCTTCCTGTCCTTCAGCAGGTCCTGTCAGTTTGGACACCATGGGCATTGGCCCACACATACTGAAATGTTACACTCATGGACTCCATGAGGCCTGTGATTTGGGGATTCTTGAGTTCTTAAAATCTAATAGTGTTCTATGATTCTGAGGTTCTGGGGTTCTATCAGTTGAGTACCCCAGTGGTCCCAGCATCTGAGGTGCTACTAAAGCTTCAAACCTGTGGCCTCTTCATGGCTCCACGCAGCACCACAGGTAAGGATCCAGGGTTGTGATAGTGGCCAGATGGATGTCACCCACCACATCCGCCAGCACCCACGTCACCCACCTGGGCCAAGCTAGCTGCAGGACGGGCCAGCTAATTCTCGGAACGAAACTCGTGGGGTGGGGTGTCTGCCCCCTTCTCTTCCTCCTCGGAGCGGATGAAGCCCAGCGCATCCGGCTGCCATGACGTCAATGGCAGAAAAATCTGGGGAAGTCGGAGGCTGTGACAACAGGCCCAGATGCAGACCCCGATACGAGAACACAATCTGTGTCCCAGAAACATCCCCCGCGCAGCTTCTGAGAAACCTAGTCAGAAAGGGCCGCCCCAACAGACAGTGCAGGAAGCTGGCTGCCCAGCCCATCCTCCAAGTACCCCACCAGACAGACCATATCCAGGTCTTTTTTTTTTTTTCTGAGAATGTACCTAGGCTTCCATGAGTCAGACCATTCCAGGTAGTCTCAGAGGAACCGCAGGCTAACCGTGTGGGTCAAGCCAGAGTGGTGGAAGCATCCATTCACACATTGCCTTATGATCGCTGACACTCTCCAACATCTTGGTTCTGAGCCTCCATAGGCCCAGATTCATGATTCACAATCAGTAATGTTCTAACCCCTCAAGAGACTAAAGGTTTAGCACCTAGTTTATCCCACCCCACTTGATGCATGGACCACCTCCCTTAGCACCACAGCTATGACAACCCCCATGAAGGGACAACCAAGAAAGGAACAATTGCTCCCTTGGGCTGCTGTCAGCAGCTATGTGCCCAACCAAGTGCTGCGGGGGTAGGATGGGGAGTTTCTCTCTCTCTCTCGCACACACACATCTCAAGATTTCTGAAATGGACACATGCATACATTTCATTGAGTGGAGGTTACAAGTCAACATGGACTATGGAATTCTTTGAACCTGGGCGTCTCCTTCAGTAAAATGGGGTTGGACTGGGCCGGACATCCAGCTCTTACTTCTCAGACTGAGATGACAGGATCCCAAGAAACTGAGGCCCAACTGTCTGGAGCCACAGTTGTTATTTGGTACCATCAAGTCAGTTCTGATTTATGGAGACCCTATTGCACAAAAGATCAAAATACTACCCGGTCCTGGGCCACCTTCACAATTGCTATGTTTGAGCCCACTGTTGTTGCACTGTGTCAATCCATCTTGTTGAGGGTCTTCCTCCTTTATGCTGACCCTCCATTTTACCAAGCATGTCCTTCTCCAGCAATTGATCCTTCCTGACAATATGTTCAAAGTATGAGAGGCAAAGTCTCCCCATCATCACTTCTACGGAACATTCTGGCTGTACTTTCAAGATAGATTTGTTTGTTCTTTGGGAAGAACTTTCAATATTCTTCGCCAACACCGTAATGTATCAGTTCTTCTATGATCTTCCTTATTCGCTGTCCAACTTTCACATGTATATGAGGCAGCTGAAAATAACCCTGGCTTGGGTCGGGCACACCTTAGTTCTCAAAGTGATGTCTTTGCTCTCTTAACACTTTAAAGAGACCGTTTGCAGCAGATTTGCTTAATGCGGTTTCTTTGTTTGATTTCTGTAGCCATTATGGAGAGCTTTCTGGATGAGGAGAACTGGGCATTCGAATCAGGAGGACTAGCACATGCCGCAGCTTGGAGGCAGGCTTGGGAAGCAGAGATTGGAGTAGACTCTGGTGGGGGATGGGTCAAGGAGAGCCCACAGGCTCTGCTTAAGAAAGTCTATCTCTCCCCGTCTCTGGCACCTACCATGCCTTCTCCTTTCAGGACAGGATCTCAGAGATAACCAGACCCGGACCTTGCCCTGAGCTTGACACTTCTTTTCTCATTCCTCATCCAAGTTGCCAGCAAATCCGGGTGACTACTTTAAAAATAGATCCAGAATCCACCAACTTCTCACATTGCCACTGCTGCAGCCTCGGTCTAGGCCACCATCACTACTTATCTGGACTCATCATGGCTCTCCCCTGCTTGTGCCCTTGCCTCACAACAACCAAACGATTCTTCTGAGTCCAGGCCTCCTCCATTCCCAGATAGGCCCAAGTCACTGGCCGGGGGTGGGGGTGGGCGGTACATGGCCCCATAAGAAAGTCTGAAGGCATCCTAATAGTGTAGTGGGTTATGAGTTGGGCTGATAATGCAAGATAGAAGTTCGAATCTACCAGGCACTCTGCGGGAGAAAGATGAGGTTTTCTGATCCTGTAAAGATCTGCAGCTTTGGAAACCCTATACAAGGTCACTATGAGTTGGAACCAACTCCAAAGCACACAACCACCACCACCACCAAGAAAGTCTGATCAGTCCCCGGGAGGTTCTGCAAAGTTGTGTGGCTGGGATGTGTTGGCCTGTGCAGGGTACAAGGAGGACCAGAGGTTGAAGCCTGAAGATAGGCCCCAAGAGAGGAGGGGAAGGAAGTGAGGCCTACCCTGGCTGAGACTCCACCAACTAACCCCGTGAAGGACATGTCCAACCCAGATCTGTTTTAGCACACATAGGCAAGCAATGTGTTTGACCCATACTCATCTGCCCATGGAGCATGTGTAGCTGTGTTCCCGACACCAATATGTGAGTGCAAGTATACACAGGACCAAAGCCAGGGGGCCTCCAGGACATGCCCTAGTCAATGTCGGCTCTGACCATAAGGGATGGCCATGTGATTCAGGTGTTTTGAGTATTTTGCAGACACTGCCCCCCACCCCTAACACATTTGTAACTCACTCTTCATATGTCTCTACAGCCTGTCTTCAAACAAGGACCCAATGCCCAATCCCAGGCCAGCGAAGCCCTCGGTTCCTTCCTTGGCCCTTAGCCCATCCCTGGGACCCTCACCCAACTGGAGGGCTGCACCAAAGACCTCAGACCTGCTGGGGACCAGGGTACCGGGAGAAACTTTCCAGGGCCGGGACCTTCGAGGTGGGACCCATGCCTCCTCTTCATCCTTAAATCCCATGCCACCATCGCAGCTGCAGGTGAGGCCCAGGGCCCAGGATGGGGCAGGCAGGGTGGGGTACCTGGGCTTACAGGTGCCGACCTTTACTGTGGCACTGGGCGGGGGGCCCGACTAGGGCACAGGAAGTGGTTTCTGGGTCCCAGGCAAGTCTGTGACTTATGCAGATGTAGCAGAGCCAAGAAAGTCCCCACTTGCCAGACCTCAGAGATTCAAGGCTCTTCCTGATCTCCGAATCCGTGTCTCGGGAGAGAAGGAGATCCTATCATGGTCCCATGGGCACAGCTATGTGTCCCTCTCCCCATGGGATAGAGAGGGCTGTGGCCTAAAGAGGTGAGGTGACAGGGGTGAAGCCAGGTCTGCCACTTATGGGCTGTGTGATCTTGAAAGTCACTCAACCTCTCTGAGCCTCAGTTTCCACATATGTAAGATGAGTCCCTATTCTGTGAGGTTGTGGTGATAAGTATAGAATTAGATGTAGAATAGTGAGGATGAAGGTGACATCTCATCCACCTGTCTTCTCCCTGGCAGCTACCCACAGTGCCCTTAGTCATGGTGGCACCCTCCAGGGCACGACTGGGCCCCTCGCCCCACTTGCAGGCACTCCTCCAGGACAGACCACATTTCATGCACCAGGTATTGACTCTGAATGGCCAGGGGAGGGAGCAGGTGGGTGAACTGAGGGAAAGGGGCCACAATCCAGGCTGAACTGTAGTTCATATGTGCTCCCCAGCTCTCAACTGTGGATTCCCATGCCCGAGCCCCTGTGCTACAGGTGCACCCACTGGAAAGTCCAGCCATGATCAGCCTCCCACCACCCACTGATGCCACCGGGGTCTTCTCCCTCAAGGCCCGGCCTGGCCTTCCACCTGGTAACCCCACAATCCACACCCCCTGCAGCTTTACAGACCAGAACCCCTGACTCCCCAGTCCTTAAACATAAGTGTTGTTCTGCGATATGGCCCTCAGGAGATCAGAGGGGTCAAGTCTCAGACTCTTGGAAACTCCAACCTCCAAAAACTGTTAAGCTCAGAACCTTAAAGATACAGAATGTCAAAAGCACTGAACTTTGCAGATCTTTGCAAAGTTAGTTAAAATGTCAGCGTTTGCAAATGACAGTCTTTGAGCTGCTCCATCTGAATGAAGCCTTGGAGTTTCGGTACTACAGAGCCTCTGGACATCAAGGTCTTTGAGGCACAGATAGATGGAAGAAAGCTCAGTATGAGGCCTTGTGGGCAGAGCTACAAAGCCTGGCCCCCAGCCCCCAGAGGTGCGCTGTCCCCATTCACAGGAATCAACGTGGCCAGCCTAGAGTGGCTATCCAGGGAGCCAGCGTTGCTGTGTACCTTCCCCAGCCCCGGGACACCCAGGAAGGACAGGTCAGTGGGCAAAGCTGGGAAGGACCCACTCCCTGCTATGCCCTCCTCTGACACCCTCTGTCCCCCTTAGCACCCTTTTGGCCATGCCCCAGGCCTCCTACCAACTGCTGGCAAATGGTGCCTGCAAGTGGCCAGGATGTGAGAAGGTCTTCGAGGAGCCGGAGGACTTCCTCAAGTGAGTGGCTGAGCCCCACACCAGTTTAAGGGGCTCCTGATTAGGGATGGGGGTTGGGAGAGGAGACCCAATCTCAAGTCAGGCCTCATCCTAATAGGCAGTAAGATGAAAGAGGAAAAAGCTGAGACCAAGTCCAAGCCTATTGCCTGCCATCATGTCGGTTCCTTATAGGAAAGAGTAGAAGAGCATCATAGGGTTTCTAAGGCTGTCATCTTTACAAAAGCGGACTGACACATCTTTCTCCCATGGAACTGCTGGTGTGTTTGAACTACTAACCTTTCAGTTAGTAGTCAAGCACTTAACTACTGTGCCACCAGGGATCCTCTAAAAGCTGACACACTGGTCCAATCCCGGTTCCATCACTTACTGACTGTGTGACCTGGGACAAGTTAATTACTTGTAAAACTTCTCTGGGGGTGGTGGTGGTGGTGGTGGTGTGCCGTGGAGTCAGTTCCGACTTATAGCGACCTTGCATAGGGTTTCTGAGGCTGTAAATCTTCACGGGGGCAGAAAGCCTCATTTTCTCCCTCAGAACATCTGGTAGTTTGGAACTGCTGACCTTGAGGTTAGCAGCCGGACTTGTAACCATTATGCTACTAGCCCTTGGTTTTCTTGTCTCCATGTTACAAGTAAGGAAAGTGAGGCCAAAGAAGTGTCTTAAGATTTCCCAGTTCCTAACTGACACTGCTGGGATTTAAAACCAGGCTGCCTAATGGCAGCACCCACACTCCTAATGGCTTGGGACTGCCACCTCTCATGTTAACACACCAGCCTGATTTTACCAAAGCCCCAAAGTCCCAGCTCTTGAACATGGTTGTTGCTAGCCCCCTTCCTCAGCCCTGCCGTGCACACACACACATTTCTCCAATCATATCTAACAATTAGCAGCAGCACTTTCCACAGCCAGGCCCTGTCACACACTGTCCTCTCCACCTGGAACACTTTTGTCACTCAGCCACTCTCAGCAAACCAACATCATCTTGCTCAAGTGGCCAGCACAGGGCCTGGCACACTATAAGTCCTGAGTGACATGTGTTAATGAAATGACATGTGAGAGTGAGACTGAGGTAGAGGGAGTGAGGGGGCTCAGGCTCTGAGGAGTGACCTTCCAGAAGGTCTGGGCCCTCCCCACTCTGAATGTTGAACCAAGAGGACAGTCCTGAGTGGTCATCTCCATGGAATCTCCCCCTATCCAGGCACTGCCAGGCAGACCATCTCCTGGATGAGAAGGGCAAAGCGCAGTGTCTTCTCCAGAGGGAGGTGGTACAGTCTCTGGAGCAGCAGGTGATTCTGGGGGCTGGACAAACTGGCCACCCTCTGCCAGAATAAAGGCTAAGGGAAGCCCAGAGTGGCAGAGAAAGGCTACGTTAAGGCCTCACTGTGTATCCATCCTACAGTTGGTACTAGAAAAGGAGAAGCTGGGTGCCATGCAAGCCCACCTGGCCGGGAAGATAGCACTGAGCAAGGCTCCATCTATGGTGAGTGGCCCCAGGTCACAGGCTCCACAGACTGCTAGGGGCAGAAGACCCACCCACACATGCAAACCCTGGGGATCTATAGCCCTGACCCCAGCTGCAAACATTCTAGACCAGGGAAGCTGCCACCTTGCACTTACACACCTGATCTTGTTGTTGTTGCTGTTGTTAAGTACCGTGGAGTCCGTTCCGACTCATAGTGACCTTGTGTAGGGTTTCCAAGGCTGCAAATCTTTATGGGCGCAGAAAGCCTCATCTTTCTCCCACGGAACAGCTGGTAGTTTCGAACTGCCGACCTTGAGGTTAGCAGCCCAATTCGTAACCAATACCCTACCAGAGCTCCTTCACCTGACCTTAAGATCCCCAAAATATGAGGCTCCTTGCTCAAAGTTCAAGAAGACAACTGCAGAGCATTACACAAAGTAGTGGCCCTTCTGAGCATGGAGCCCTGTGGCATACAGGTCGCATGCTCAGAAAGCTGGCCAGGCGCTGTTTTAGAGTGAGCACTTCACTGGTATCAACGTCTTTAGTCCTCACAATAGCACTGTGAGGTAGACACCGCTATCTTTATCAATTCACAGATGAGGAAAACTGAGGCCAGGGAAGTTTAGATGCTTTTCCAAGGTCTCAGATTGGTGGTAGAGGACTGGGATTCAAGGCTGGCCTGGGGCCCCCAGCATCAGTATTCCATACATACACCCCAATGTCCACACTCCCACTAGTCAGTAAGGCTCAGGCTGCTTCATGGGATTCCAGGTCAAACTGAAAAGTCAGGACACCCTTGATTTTATAGACATTTATTAAAAAATAAAAGTGCAAACTTGAAGCTTCACGGTCACCAACCCTGTTGCAGGCATCCTCTGACAAGAGCTCCTGCTGCATTGTGGCTACAGGCACTGCGGGCAGCCCCCTCCCGGCCTGGCCCAGCCCTGGAGAGGCCCCCAATGGCCTGTTTGCTGTGCGGAGGCACCTCTGGGGCAGCCATGGAAATAGCACATTCCCAGGTAAGTAAGATGAGCCTGCCTTACATGGTACTCCCCAATCCTAATGAACGGTGCTAGGGTGGGAGCAGAAAGGGGCTCTGTGCTATTCTTCCCCCACACCAGGGCCCAGTCTTTGCGGGGGAAAACATGTCTTTGCAAAAGTTTCCTCAAAGTCTCCAATATCTAGCCCTCATCCTTTGGGGTTTTAGGCTGTGCCTCATCAGCTCAGGGTTTCAGCTACTCATCCAGTCACCAAAAGGAAGGAAATTAGCTGAATCATTCCTAAGACCTTCCTTCCCTCCTCCACCAGGAAAAATGGGAGGATCCACTCATGTTCCCCAAACCCATACTCCCTGCCAGGCCTGGGCTGTGTACTTAACCAGGATCAGCTCTCAAGTCTCAAACCTGTTGTGTGGCAATGGTGCACAATACATGATAGAATTTATGTCAGGTGCTTAGTAAACAGCTGCTCATTGGAGCCTGTGCAAATGGTGGGATTTCAAGCGACAGATGCTTTCCTGGAGGGGGGTCAGGGAAGCTGGAAGATCCTGGAGGAGGCCTGATCCTTCTGCACTCTCTGACAGAGTTCTTCCACAACATGGACTACTTCAAGTTCCACAACATGCGGCCTCCTTTCACTTACGCCACTCTCATCCGCTGGGTAAGTAGGGCAGCTCAGGCCCATGGGGGAAGAGAAGGACTGGATGGGGAACCTGTCTCCCAAACCCCTGCTCTCACTTCCAACCACCCAGTAGGCTTTTGTTTTATCAAACCCCAGCCCAAAGAGCCCCAAGTAGTGCCTCAAATGTAATCATGTTGGCTTCACCCTATACCTGCTCCCTAGCCCCAACCTAAACCATCAGGCAGGCTAGACTACTTTGGAAGCAAGCCAAATTATGGCTTAAACCCACCTCTTTTCTGAGGTCTTGATACCTAGCACCCTCTCTTGGCACCTTCCCAGAACCTCCACCAAAGCCCACCTGAGCCTTCATTTTAGTCTCATACCCAACCTCAAACTTGAACCTTAACTCCCACCACATACCATATATTACATGTGTCTCTAAACTGAGCCCCCAATCGAAACCCATCCTGATTCATAACCTCATTGCTATTATAATCACTGATCCTTTTATTTAATCCCATCCCTAAATCAAAACTGCTCAAATTCCCTGACCCTCCTTTAGCCTCACCCCACACCTAACTCCAGTCCTGACCCTAATTTTAATTTCACAACTTCATTTTTGACCAAGAACCTAACCACATTCCTGCCACTTGTACAATAACTATAACTAGGACCATCTCTGACTCTTGACCTAATGCTATAACATCATCCCATCCCCACATCTAGTTCTATCTCATCCCCCTACCTGACTCTTAACTAATCCCTCCCCTGACCTTTAACTCCACCTAGCCCTTTACCCCTTACAAATCCTTCATTTGAACCCACTCCTCACGTTTAACCTTCCCAAACCCTGAAACCTAACTCTCATAAATTGCTCCAAGTTCAACCCCATCACAGATCTTTAACCTGATCCCAGCTCTAACTTCTTAAGTGAATCCCCCTACCAATTTCTGCTCTGATCCTGTACCTAATATGCTATCCCTGAATCTACACTAATCTTGTCCCCAAACCCACACCATACTTCATATGTAACCCTCTCCCTGACTCTTTTCTTCATACCATCTCCCTCCCTCCTCCACTCCCATAATTTCACAACATGCCAGCCAGGCAGTCCATGGGTAAGCTCCTGCCTCTCTCCATCCTGACTTTGGAGAACCTACTCCTCACAGCCCCTAATCCCCAGGCCATCCTGGAAGCTCCTGAGAAGCAGCGGACACTCAACGAGATCTACCACTGGTTCACGCGCATGTTCGCCTTCTTCAGAAACCACCCTGCCACCTGGAAGGTGAGTTCCTCTGGAGATAGCAGTGGTTGTGATGGCTTTGAATGACCACTGCATTGTGGGTGAGGTGGGCCTGGGAGAGGAGGTCACCTGTTGGTAGAGGGTTGCTGAGCACAAAGAATGGCTGCCCACATGTTCCCCCTTGCCCCCCACCCGGCTGGCTGGTCCTTCCACAGAATGCCATCCGCCACAACCTGAGCCTACACAAGTGCTTCGTACGGGTGGAAAGTGAGAAGGGGGCTGTGTGGACTGTGGATGAGTTCGAGTTTCGAAAGAAGAGGAGCCAGAGGCCCAGCAGGTGCTCCAACCCCGCACCCAGCCCCTGACCTCAAAACCAAGGCAAAAAGGGAAGGATAGGGTCAAAATCATGGGTGGAGGGGGCTATGCCCACAGGAACCAAAAACTGAGGTGTCCACTGTCTTGCCTGCCAGAGACCCTGCTTCCCAGCGGACCACCCCTTCTGGATCACATCCTCTGTACCAAGGCTGCTCAGAGGAGCTCCAGCCCCAGCCCTCGAAGCCCACCTCACCCCCTGTGACAGGTTCTTCAGCCAAACTGAGCCTTCACAACCACCCACACACATAGCCTTCCTCAGTTATTTCAGGGCTGGAGGAGTCCATCCCACAGACAGGCACAGCTCACCATCCTGTCACTTGGACTCAGTACTCAGACAACCTCAAAGTGGCAGTCACACTGACAAACAAGCATACACGATCACAATCCTGCCACACAACCCCCCCAAAGCGCACACATACACACACACACACACACAGCCTGACTGCTGTGGCACACAGTGGCACACACAGAAGCAGCCTCAGGACACTCATGGTCTCCAGTTGAGGAAAATCACACAGAAACACCACCTGTCATGTGTGGTCTCATACAAGCTTCCAGCACATGCACTCAGTCACAGACCCAGCCCATTAAGGCTGCACCTGCGCACCTCCTACTCACACATCCACAGAACCCTAGCAGTTCTTCTAGACAGCCTCCCACCCCATTACCTATGTCAAGTGTCCCAATCCATGCCTCAGCTTAGCCTGCAGACAGGGCTGCTCATTTATTTGGGATCCAAGGCCCCAGTCCTCTTCACAATAAATTGTAGCCTGTCTCCCATACTCTGGACAATCATCCCAGATAAGGGTGGGGGTCAGGTGGGCAGGGGGGAGGCAGGGACTGGGGTCCAAGGCTACATCAGGAGGAATTGGATGGTAGAGGGAATAGCTAGGCTAAGCATTGGTCATCAACTCCAATACTCCAAAGCACCACCTAAGGCCCGGGGGAGAACTGGGCTGAGGACTCCTCAGGCCTCACGGATCCGTCCCAGGAGGCCAGCATTCTCCTGGCGGAGGGCTCGGTAGTCCTCACGGATTTTCTCCAGGTTGCTGAGGGTCTTCTTGCCCATCTCTGTCTCGATCTAAAACAATTTAATATGCATCCCCTCAATATCCAGGTCCCCTTTCCTAGCTCCGATTCGGCACCACCCCCCCCATTCTTTATGGCCACTCTTGGCCCCTCACCTGTCCCTAAAATCCCCTCAAACACCAGTCTGCTCCATCCCCCTACCAGGCCTTTGAACATATCAGTCCCTCTACTAAAACATCCTTTGTTACACAGCAGGGTTTGCCATCACATGTTCAAGCTGATGCCGTGGCCAACGGTCCTGAGGCAGGTGCGATGACCCTTGTGGCATTAGCTGAGGCTCAGAAGAGGCCACTGGCCTGACCCTGGTCATATACTAACACACAGCTGCTAAAGGGCAAGGTAGAGATCCCCACTGTTGGCTGTGCCTAGTTCCACAGCCTCTCCCAGCATGTTATCCAAATAGCTGTCCCCATGCCTCACCTGCTCCTCAAGGTCTCGAACCTCTCGCATGATGGTGCCTGTGTCCTCAATGGTCTGGATAAGCTGACTGCAGTTCTGAGGACAGCAGGAGAAGGCTTAACCCCGCCATGGCTCTGCCCCGCCCCATCCCTACCCCCAGGGAGACCTCGCCCCTCACCTCATGAAGGGCAGCTAGATACTTATAGGCCTTCCGAACAGCATCATCCTTCTTGGCATCCTGACCAGACAGAGGGGACCTCCGTGGTATTAGACGGCTGCCCTGCCCACCACATACTACTACCTCCAAGCACCATGAAGCCACACTCTCCAACCCCTGACTTCCTCCTCCAAGGAGCACATCAGCAAACTCACAAGGCTTACCCAGGCCCCAGGCCAAATCCAGCCAGGGAGCAGATGGGCAGGCAGAAGGCCAGTCCCACCCCCAACTCTTACACCCTGCCAGGCCTGCCTCACACCTTAAACACGAGCTCGTCAGTCACTGCAAATGTCCGGTCCAGTTTTCCAGAGAGGGAGTTGATTTCCTTCTGAAGGCCCTTTGTGTCAGACAGGATCTGGCAGAGACCAGGTGGCCATGAGCCAGTGTCAGGCAGAATGGCCAGCCAGCTTAGGGTACTCATGTACACACACTCACAACCAGACAGGGCCTGTGTCATTGCATTAGGGGAGGCTGAAGTGGACAGTGTGGCAGCTCTGTGTCAGTGTGGCTGTACAGCTCTGTCTACCAGAGGATGGGAGGCCCAGTGTAGCCTGGCTACACACATCTGCCCCCTGGGCATGTGTGCCCACATGACCAATGCCCCAGCCATGGCAGCACACCTTAGTGATCTCTTCCTTCTGCTTCCGGATGTTGCCCACAATCTCCAGGATGCGCTGAGTGTAGGCCAGCCGGGACACATCTCTGGGCAGAGTCTCCAGCTCTGACACCTAGGCAGAGACAAAGTAGGCATTCCCCCAGAACTTACACCCTCCCCAGCACCAGCCACCTAGGGTCCCTGAATGGGTCTCACCAGCTGCTTATAGACCTCCTCCTTTCTGCGGGCCTCTTCAGCAGCTGCCCGAACACTCTGGTGCAGCTCCTGAATCTCTGCCAGCCTTCGGGATGATTCCAGCTGTCCAAGACCCCAATGGGCATGGGATGGTGAGGGTGGTGAGCAGAGCACGGGGATGGCTCCTAGGGAAGGATCAAACCTGCCCCATCCACATCCCAGGATCCCATAACCTACCTCTCTACGATCTTGAAGCTTCCGAAGGTGGCGGTACTCAGCAAGGAGTGGGACTCGGTGCTTTTCCCACTGACTTGCCAAGTGGATGACCCGCTGGGCACTACTTTCTACCACGAGCTGAGTGGAGTGGGGGCGGGGAAGCATGTCACGTAGTCCAGACCCCTTTATACCCAATCCTCCCAGCCCAATCCCAACCATACCTGCAGCTTGGCAAGATTGGCAGCCCCATCAGGCAGCAGTTCCACGGCCCGGCTCTTCAGGCGCAGGGCCTGCTCTTGCTCCGCCACGCTGAGCTCACTCTGCTGACACTCAGTCTCTACCTGCACCATGAACCCCACTCCCAAGTCAGTGGTGGAGCCCAGTCACACTCTCCATCCCACCACTCTGCTGAGCTCAGAATGCCCTGGCCTACCTTAATACCTCACAGTGACTACAAACTTCTCTACTACCTACATGCCCTTCAAACCCCTCCTGAAATGAACAGATATATCTATAATGACTGGCACTCATAAGCCCCTCTAATTCCTGATCCTCACAGACCCTCTAACCTCCATAGATCTACCAACCTCTAGAACTGCAAGTCTCCCTGATCCTGCATATCCTTCTCACGCCCACAGATTCTGCTGAACCCTAAATAGCCCCACAAATTGCTCATGTACCCCCATAAACCCTTCTGACATCTGTGGACCTCTACAGATTATCTCTCAGCCCCCTCCAGTCCCTCTATACCCTTTAGATCCTAGTAGGATCTCCTGGTTTCACCCTAGCCCTTTCCCATAGCCCCTCACTTGCACAAGGCTGATTCCCAGCATCCTCATGTTGGCTTCAAGCTCTTCGATACTGTGGTTCACTCCCTCTAACTGCTCCCGAAGGGACTCTAATTCCTTTTCTTGAGCTGCCCACATGTCCTGGGAGGCACAGATCAGAGGGAGGGAAAGGTATCAGGCCAAATTGGTAGACTGGTAAGGACCTTAACCTCCCTACCCCTCTCTGCTCACCTGTTCAGGCTGTAGGGTGCTGGCCAGCACATTGGACACCTGGGTTGCCTGGGTCTTGGGCTCCTGGGGGAGTGAGGAAGGAGTATCATAGCTGCCAGGGGAGCCCACGTCACAGAGCCCAGCCTCAGCCACCCACCAAGCACTCTCCCTATACCATACCCACTCACGTTGCCACCATGTGACCGTATGAGGATAAAGGCACTAGCTGCAACCTCAGACTAGAGTGTTTGTACACTGAGACCTCCCCGGCCCTGCCGTAGCTCTGAAGCCCAACTGCCCTGAGAAGGACAGGTGTACTGTTGAGTGGACATGAAAGGAGAAAAATTATGTCCAGAGAAAACACAGGAACTGCCTGGGTAAGGAGGTTTCTGCATGGGAAGAAACCTATATATAACTCACATAGTCTCCTCATGCATCTACCCTTTCTCAGCTGAAGTGGCCTAAGAAACCAAGAGAGCCCTCTGGGTGCCCACTCCCAGTGAGGAAAGGCCTTGTCTGGTGGAACTCAAGAGTCTGTGTGGACAGAGTTATAGTACTGGCACATAACACAACCCTCGATACCTGCCCCAGCCCCTGGTAGCATGCCCCATCTCCACACAGGTCCCACCAACCAGATGAATGGTGAACTTCTCTGAATGCGTGAATTGAGAGCCCTTGGGGACACCAGTCCTGGTCCCAGCTCCCCAGGCCTGCAGCAGCTCTCCCAGGTCTCGGACTTGTGGCGGGGCCCCGAGTGGACCCCAGCTTTGGCGAAGGTGCTCAGCCAGATATTTCTGTAGCCGCTGGCGCTGGGCCCATGTATCCTCCTGGAAACAGAGGGCCGGGTGAAACAGGAGGGTGCAGAGGTCTACTGGGCACCCAAGATCCTGCCTCCTTCAGGAAACTTACCTAACAAGCTCACATCCACCCTAAAGCTTTTCCCACCTAGGCTGGCACTCACTCTCCGGTCCCTCGAATCTTCCCCGGAACTGGGGTCTCCTCTTCCCCACAGCCACATTTCTCTTCACCCATGTACTCCATGAAAAAGATATGAGAAGAGACAGAAGGAAGCGGGAACTCCCAACCAGAGAGGCCCTGACAGAATTTATGAGGACAGAGGATAGACAAAGAGTCAGTGACAGCCTTAGGCAAAGAAGGGAACAGTCAGAGATAGTGGAAAAGAGAGAGAGGAAAGAGTGACAAGAACAGAGACACTTTTGAGATAACTGGAGAAATCTAATTATGAACCTGGTATTAGATTACATTGAAAGATCACTGTTAATTTTGTTAGGTGTGAAATGGCCCACTGGTTATGTTACAAAATAAATAACCTTATGAGTTAAGAAATGCATTCTTAAGTATGACACAATGTCTGAGATTTGTTTTAAAATAATACAGCCCTTCCTCTGTAAATGTTGCGGGAGAACAGATGAAAGAAGGTTGGCAAAATGCTTACATGTGAAGGTGGATGATAGGTACATTAGAATAAATTCGCTCTAACTTTGTGTTAGAAAATTCCAATAATTAAAAAAAGGGAAATAAAGATGGAACAAATGGTAGCTTGGTGTTGGGTGGAGGGGGGATTTTAAAACCAGAAAGAGACAGATACAAAGGTAGAGAGGAAAAGACGACAGATACAGAGGCGTAGAGAGGGAGAAGAGGACACAGAGCAGGAAGAGAGAGAAAGAGGGGCAGCCAAACCACAGAAGAAGAATGTACAGATCTAGAGATAGACAAAATGAACCTCAGTGACACCTGCAGAGACAAAACAGTGAGAGACAAGAAGACGGTGGGAAAAACAGGGAGGAAGGTAACAAGTCCAACAGCTCTGGTGGCTAGGAACTTGGTGCCTACATTCGAATCACTACTCCAAGAGGAGAGGACCATTACTACCCTGTTTTTCTAAATAGGAAACTGAGCCTCTGAGGAGGGATACTGACTTCTCTACGGAGTCCTGGTAGGATAAGCACTAGACCGCAAGGTCGGTTTGAACCACAAAGCTGGCAGTTCAAACTCACCAGCCATTCCTCGGGAACCCTATACAGTGTTGCTACGAGTTGGAACCAACTCAATGACAACTACAAGGTCCATAGTCTTTCAGACTTCAATGTCCCAGTTTTTTCAGGTGGGGAGCATGGCGGGGGGCTCACAGAGGGGCCAAGTGAGGAAAGAAATGAAGCAAAGGACCCATGGGAGACAAAGTTGGAGCAGCAGTGGACACACATTAGGTTGTACCTGGGTTGGGAGGCGAGATGTCCGGCGTAGCCAGTCCTCATCCCCTGAGTGGTCCCAGGCTGTTTGCTTGCAGAGTTGGATGGCATGGCGCTCAAGGAGCGAGGCTGCCCTACCAGCAGGCTGGGGTACCTGGGTGGGAGCTGGTGGTAGCAGGGGACTCCTCTGGAACTCCCGTAGCTCTGGGGTCACACAGAAAGTCAGCCTACCCTTTTGTGGTAAAGGCAGCACCGCCCCCCACTCTTCTGCACAGCCCCACACTCACCTCCTCTGGAACTCAACTCAGGCACGATCAGCCTGCTGGCATGGAAAGGTTTCTGGGGGGCTGAGCCCTGTGGGAGGCAGGGAGGAGCAGTGTCAGAGCCTCCAAGGTGAAGTATGATGGGATACCACTGGGAGGAGGTCAAACACCTAAGTACTCAGATGACGAAAAGGAAGGCAAGACAGGGACATGAGTCAAAGGGGCCTACCTGGATGTGCTGCAGCTTGGGAGTGCGAAGGAGGGGCGGGACCCAGGGCAGAGCCAGCTGGTCCCGGATTTGGCTCCCAATGGCTCGGAGAATAGCTGAGTCACCTGTGGGGGTGGGAGGTAGTGCTAATCAGGTGACAACCCTGCAACTCTAAAAATGTATGCTTGGGAGCCCAGGCATCATCCTTTCCCCTGAGATACATCAATCTAGGGACCATTCTCAAACATTTACTGAGCACTTAATATGTACCAGTCATTGTTCCAGAACTCAATGAGCAAACAAATAAATATCCCTGCTCTCATAGTAGAGCGAGGATTTGAAGAGGGGAGAGAGACTATAGCTAAGATGGTGGCTGTTGTTGTGAAGTGCCGTTGAGCCGGTTCTGACTCATAGCAATGTGTATAGGGTTTCCGAGCAGCGGCTGGTGAGCTTGCACTGCCTACCTTATAGTCCAGCGCATTAACCCACAGCGCCACGCCAGGACTCCAGAACTATGATAACAGGTGAAATATAGAATACTGTTGAGCAGTGATAAGAAAAAGGAGGGAAGGACTGCTGGGGGAAGGGGGCAATTTTAAACAAGGCAGTTAGAGGAAGGTCTCCCCAAGGTGAACAGAAAACTCAAAAGACATGAGTGAGTGAACCATTAGGATATCTGGGGAAAGAATAATCCAGCAAGTATCAAGGCCTTTGGTATCAATACTTCAGTATGCCTGGCCTATTTAAGAAGCATCAAGGAGAGAGTGGTTAGAGAGGTGTGAGCAAGGGGAAGGAGGTAGGGGGTATGGTCAGAGAAGCCCCTCCCAGTACCAACTCACCACCTGGGTCAGTCCCAACCTCATCTCCTGCCCAGCACCCCCTAACTCCCAATCCTCCTATATAGCTTTCCCCAAGACACATGCCCCCACCAGTACCCATCAACCATGTTTCCACCTCCACCTCTTACAACCCCCAAAACACACAGGAAAAACCCCTTCTCCCTTCATGATCCCCCAAGTCCAGGAGCCCTGTACCTGCAGGTTGATCTGCATCCTCAGATGCATCAGTAGGAAGGCGCTCAGCTAAGAAGAGAAGCAGGTCCCGAAGATCAGGCTCACTGGGGTATAAGAAGTTCTGATAGCCAAGTTCCAAGGGATAGCCCAGGTCCTAGAGATTGGGGGTGGGGTGGAAAGTGGATCAGCCACACCCAGACCACAAATGCACAAACTCTCTCACCAACCACCACCACCACTGAGGGGAGCCACAAAGTTATTACAGTTAATGCTTCAGAGGGCAACGAGAAGAGTAAGGTTCTGGCCTTTCTAAATCTGACTCAAAATCCAGAAGCCATAAAAGAGAAAATGGATGTCTCTGACTACATGAAAAGAAATATAATTTTTAAAGAAAAAATACAGTATAATCAAAGTCAAAAGAATAATGACAAACAGAAAAAGATTTAGAGCTCATATCATAGGCAAAAAGCTAGTCAACATATTATACAAAGAATGTTGTTGTGAAGTGCTGTCGAGTCGGTTCCGACCCATAGGGACCCTGTATAGGGTTTCCAAGGAGCAGCTGGTAAGTTTGAAAGGCTGACCTTTTTCTTAGATACAAAGAGTATCTAAGGAAAATAAGGGGCACTGGTGACGTAGTGGGTTGCACACTGGGTGCTAACCACAAGGTTAGTGGTTCGAATCCATCGACTGCTCTGTGGGAGAAAGATGAGGCTTTCTGCTTTTGTAAAGATGTACAGCCTGGGAAACCATCTATACAGAGTCACTATGAGTAGAATCCAACTCAATAGTACACAGCAACAAGAGCCACCTAAAAATAAATAAGAAAATAAGACCAGGACACAACAGAAAAAACAGGCAAAAGATAAGAACACAGAAAAGCAATTGAAAACGGCTTTTAAGGTTTTGCAGTTCATACATGCACGGGTTTATTACAAAGTGTTTTTAAACATGTCTTTGCAATCAGTGGATAGCTGTAGACAAGTTCTGTCAGTAATACACTTGTCTCAGTTTCACTTGAGTGCCTTCCAAATATAGGTTAATTTTTGTGCTGTGAGGGAAAAAAAAAAAAAAAGAACAATTTTGAGGTCAGACCTAATGTCAAATTTTTAACAAAACTAGAGTAGACATCTTCTAAAATCACTGAAGCTTTGAAACAACTTTATGGGAATGCTTTGTTGTTGTTATGTGCCGTGGAGTTGGTTCTGACTCATAGCGACCCTGTACGGAGTTTCCAAGGCTGTAAATCTTTAAGGGAGCAGAGAGCCTCATCTTTCTCCCGCGGAGCAGCTGGTAGTTTCGAACTGCTGACCTTGCAGTTCGCAGCCCGATTCGTAACCACTAACGCTACCAGAATGGGAATGCTACCCCACATAAAACAACAGTTCTCAGATGGATCAAATGGTCAGGAAGGCCTCAAAGAGAGGAGACAGTCAACAAATGAAGAAATTGTGGGTGAAGTTCAGAAACTGCTAGAAGACCGTAGAATTACCATTGATGCAATCACTACTGAAGCTGGAATCTCACATGGTTTGGCATTTTCCATTTTAAAGAAACATCTTGGCCTAAGCAAATTTTCGGCTCAATGGGTGGCAAAAGCATTGCATAAAGATCAGCTAGCTTAAAGAACTGATCTTTCTATTAGTCTTTTATTGTTGTTGTTATGTGCCATTGAGTCAGTTCCAACCTATATCAACCCTGTATAGGATTTCCAGGGGAGCAGCTGGTGAGCTTGAATCACTGACCTTGAGGTTCAAACTGACATTGTAGTCCAGAGTAGTAACCCACAGCACCACACCTGGACTCCAAGTTCAAAGCCACTGTAGATGATTTTATGAAACTGGGAATAGTCTTGGATTTATAAATACAATCCAGAGAGCAAGATCCAATCAAAATAGTGGCTTCCAAAAGGACCTGCTGTGCCAATTATGGCGACGATTTTTTGGGGATTCCAAAGGGGTTATCTTGATATATTTTCTCAAAGGATATGGTGATCGGGGGCGCTTATTAGGAAGAAGTTTTAAGAAAATGGAAAACTGCATTGGTGAGAAAAGGGCCAGGAAAGTTGTGCCACAGAACTTTTTTGCCATGGTTGTCTTACAAGAATGTCACTTGGAAACACGTTACCCAATCCACCCTACAGTCCTGATCTTGTCCTTTCAGACTTCTTTTTGTTCACAAAACTCAACATTTAAAAGAAACAGGATTTGAATCCCTTGAGGATGCCTAAACTGCTGTTTTGATGTGGTGGAAATCAAAAAGTGGAGAGCTCTTTTTGGAAGTGTTGTTGCTGTTATGTGCCGTGGAGTCAGTTCCGACTTATAGCGACCCTGTATAGGGTTTCCAAGGAGTGGTTGGTGAGCTTGAACCGCCAACGCTGCAGTTCAAACCGACCTTGCAGTCCAGCACATTAACCCACAGCGCCACACCAGGATTCTCTGGAAGGGTTAGAGATAGAAACACCTCCTTCAGAAATGTACAGACCTAGATGGAGGATATGTTGAAAAAAAAAAAACAAACCAGTTTCACATTTTGATATTTTTCTTTTATAAAGGTATAAAGGTTTCTGTGATTTTGTAGCAATACTTTTTTACTTACCTTCGTATGTCTAATCTTGCTTAAAAAAGAACTACATGGTATCCAAACTGTCTAGGCGAAGCCGATGAAATGAAATGCAGATGGGTGTCTTGTGATACAATAGCGAATAACTGTTATCAGGACTGATTGTGAGGGTTAGAAATGTAAAAGTAGATGTTTTATAGCAAGGAAGGGAATGATTAACTTTCCAGTCTAGGAGCAGAGGTCCCTAGGACCATCAACGGAGAAGAGCCTAGAGTGGGACCCTACCCAGAGAAGCAGCGATGCCTGAGATGGAGGCAGAGACAATGACGTGGTTCAATGGAGCAGCTAGGGGCTTTAGATCCAGAGAGGGAGAGCGACTGTGTGCTGAAGACTGGGGGGGTGTGGGGTGTGGTAAGGGGAGTGTAGGGGGCAGGCTTGCAGGGTATACCCTTTGGTTGGTTGATGATGCATGGAGGGGATTGTAACCATGGCAATGAAACGATATACGATAGAATGAATGTAAAACTAATGTTCTCCCATGTAAACTATCATATAATTCACAATAAAACATTTAAAAATATACAAATTAAAAGTACACTGAGATTTTTTATGGTAATTAAAATGTTTCATTAATATTAAATTGATGAATTCCTGTGTGTAATCATGGTATTGTTGTTGTTGTTAAGTGCCATCAAGTAGGTTCCAACTCATAGTGAGTAGCAGCTGGTGGGTTGGAATGCTGACCTTGTGGCACTCGGTCCAGTGCTAATCCTGCAGCACCACAGCAGGAATCTGATCATGGTATTATGGTTATGTAATATCCTTTCACTTACGTATGAGGTACACTGAAGTATTTGGTAGTTAAGTGTCATGACTGTCACTTTCAAATGGTTTAACAAAAAGTAGGGGTGGAGGTGTGTTCACGTATGCTGTGCAGCAAATTAATTAATAGTGCCCTTGCACTACAGAAACAACACTGGAGAACGAACCAAAAGTTCAGCAATTCCAAACAACCAACCACTCCTCAGACACCCTCTAGAGGGTTGCTATGAGTCGGAGCTGACTTAACGGCACTTAACAACAACCGTCAGAGTCCTTGTAAACCTGGGTGGTGGTTGTGTTGTTAGGTGCCTGTGAGTTGGTTCAGATTCATAGCAGCCCTGTAAAAGGTTTCTGAAGCTATATATCTGTATAGGAGCAGAAAGTTTCATCTTTCTCCTAAACAATGGCTGGTGGGTTTAAACTGCTGACCTTGTAGTGAGCAGTCTAGTGCTTAACCTACAGGCCTATGAGCACACCTTGCTGTTGTTGTTGTTAGGTACCAATGAGTTGGTACCGACTCATAACGACCCTACGCACAACAGAATGAAACACTGCCAGGTCCTGTGCCATTTGAACCCATCTGTGCCAATCCATTCCATTGGGGCTCTTCCTCTTTTTCTCTGACCCTCCATTTTACCAAACATGATATCCTTCTCCTGGGAATGGTCCCTCCTGACAATATGTCCAAAGCTTCAGCCTGAATTTGCATATGAGCAACTGATGGTCTGTCCCACACTCTGCCCCTTGGCCTTGTTTTGGCTGATGATATGGAGCTTTTCCACCATCCCTTTTCACAGATGTAGTCAATTTGATTTCTGTGTATTCCACAGAATACACAGAAATCAAATACACAGGTCCATGTGTATAGTCATCTTTTATGTTATTGAAAAAAGGTATTTGCAATGAAGAAGTTATTGGTCTTGCAAAATTCTATCATGCAATCTCCAGCATCATTTCTACCATCAAGGCCGTATTTTCCAACTACTGATCCTTCCTCTTTGTTTACAATCTTTGCATTCCATTCTCCAGTAATTATCAATACATCTTGATTGCATGTTTGATCAATTTCAGACTGAAGAAGTTGGTAGTGGTGGTGGTTAGTGGTTATGTGCCATGGAGTTAGTTCCGACTCATAACAACCCTATACAGGGTTTCTGAGACTGTAAATCTTTACGGGAGCAGAAAGCCTCATCTTTCTCCCACGGAGCAGTTGGTAGTTTCGAACTGCTGACCTTGCAGTTTGCAGCCCGATTTGTAACCACTACGCTACCTGATTCTTTAATTTAATCATCACTGGGTTTAGTGTTTGGTTTGTAAATTTGAATAATAGTGGTGTTAACTGGTCTTCCTTCATATACAACATTGTACTTCAAGACAGATCTTGACAAGTTCTTTCTCATGATGAATGTAACACCATTCCTCCTCAATTTGTCATTCCTGGCATAGTAAATAATGTGATTGTCACACTCAAAATGGCCAATGCCAGTCTATTTCAGTTCACTAATGCCTAGGATATCGATGTTTATGCATTCAATTTCATTTTTGACAACTTCCAATTTTCCTAGATTCATACTTTGCACATTCCATGTTCTGACTTTCAATGGATGTTCACAGTTGTTTCTCTACATTTTGAGTTGTGCCCCATCAGCAAATGAAGGTCCCAAAGGATTTACTCCATTCGTTTCATCACAGTCAACTCTACTTTGAAGAAGCAGCTCTTCCCCAGTTGCATTT